TCCTAGAGGGGAACATTTCGTRGTGGAAGTGGATGTAGGARGCCGCAAATGTGGAGCCTTCATAGACAACGGATCCACGCGAAATTACATAAGTCGCGATTGTTTGGAAAGGCTGCACCTACAGGACCGGGTACGACACCTTAGTAGACTAGTAGCATCTACTTTGGCCAACAAAGAGCGCATGATTGTCACAGACTACATCAAGGACGTAGTCTATACCTTCTCCTATGGAGGAGGAGAACTTAACCATAAGATCTCGTTCTTGGTTAGCGACGACTTGCCATTCGAAATGTTGTTAGGCATGTACTACCTCGAAGTTGCTAAGCCCCAGTTCGACTGGGATAAGAAGGTCCTTAAGCATAAGTTGCCCGATGGCCGAACTGTCAGATTGACTAAGTTCAAGGCCAGCAGTATTGTAGATACCTATGGCTGCTTGTGTGCATCAGCGTTCTATAACTACTACAAGCAAAACCAAGAGGAAGGTATGTACCTCGTTTACGTCTCTGAGAAGGGGGAGGCCGTTAAAACACCCCCAGAGATAGAACGCGTCGTTGCTAAGTTCCCTGATTTGTTCGACGAGCCCACAGGAGTTGTTGATAGGGAAGTTGTCCACGTTATAGAAATCATTCCAGGGAGTAAGACCCCAAAGGGAAGGATCTATAGGATGGCCCCTGCCGAGTTAGATGAACTACGGAAGCAACTCAAGGAGCTGACAGAGAAGGGTTGGATTCGGCCTAGTACTTCCCCTTACGGATCACCCGTTCTATTCGTACCGAAGAAGGGGGGTACTTTGAGGATGTGCATTGATTATAGAGGTCTCAATGCCATCACTGTGAAAAACACAGAGCCTCTACCTCGCATAGACGACCTACTGGGTGCAGGGATGCAAGTACTATACGAAAATAGACTTGAAATCCGGATATCATCAGATCGCAATAAGACCTGAGGACCAACACAAGACAGCTTTTCAGACTAGTTATGGTCTGTATGAGTTTGTAGTGATGCCTTTCGGTCTTTGTAATGCGTCGGGTACATTCCAGCACGCTATGAATCGGATTGTCCATGATCATTTACATAAGTTTGTCGTAGTCTATCTAGACGACATTCTGATCTTTAGTAAGTATGCCGAGGAGCACGCACAGCATGTTGAGACAGTTCTCTCACTCCTTCGACAACACAAGTATAAGGTCAACTTAGAGAAGTGTGAGTTCAGTTGCACAAAGATTCTATACTTGGGTCATGAAGTATCCGCGGAAGGGATTAGGCCGGAAGATGCGAAGGTGGCTAGTATTCGAGACTGGCCACGACCTCAGACAGTCACTGAGGTCAGATCATTCTTAGGAATGTGCGGTTACTATAGGAACTTCGTAAAGAACTATTCTACAGTCACCTCTCCTTTGACTGATCTAACTCGACTTGACACACCGTGGGACTGGAGTGATGAGTGCGAGGGTGCTTTCAAAAGATTGAAGCATGCACTCATGAATCATGAAGTCCTCATGGTTCCCGATCCGCAGAAGCCATTCATAGTGACCACTGACGCAAGCCAATACGGCATTGGCGCAGTGCTAGCTCAGCAGGATGGAAAAAAGTTGAGACCGATTGAGTACATGAGTAAGAAGATGCCATCAAAGAAGCTGGCTAAGTCCACCTACGAAAGGGAACTCTATGCTCTCTACAAGGCACTTGTCCATTGGAGACACTTCCTTTTGGGAAGATTCGTCTATCTGAGGACTGATCATCAGACCCTCAAATGGATCAAGACTCAACCGGCTCTTTTTGATGCACTCAAGCGATGGATTGAGGTCATAGACCAATACGACTTCAAGCTTGAGTACCTGAAAGGAGAGTACAACAAGGTTGCAGACACGCTATCCCGTAGAGAAGACTACCTAGGTGCGCTAGTTTCTGAATTTGGCGTATCTAATGAAGTAACTCAATCATTGGTGGAAGCCTATCAGGAAGACCCTGTCACGATGGACATCATCCGCAAACTTCAGGCAAAAGACAAGGCCACAGAAAGTGAGTTTGTGATGGTGGATGGGCTAATCTATCTTGATAAGGCCGGAGTAAAGAGATTGGTAGTTCCATCTAGTGAACAGTTGCGTAGTTTATTTTTAGGCGAATGT